AGGTGATGCAAAGCTCTTTATAAAATTTACCCAAATAAAATTTGAAATTTGAAGGCTAAGAATGAAGGTAGGAATGATTTTTATTCGTATTAGTGACTTTTTAGTTAGTTAGGTAGGATATATTATTCATGTGGACATATCTACATTTCCAAAAACGGCATAAGTTCTCTGTGAATTTGAACATTTTTTCTTGATTAAATCCACTTTCTATCATGAAAACACATCACAGGTCACCATTACTCGAGCATATAACATTCATTGTTATAACTGGAAAGGCTCTGGGAAATATTTGACCCCCTCTTTGGAAAGTATCTACCCGGATTCAGCATAAATACCTGCATAATATACCTTCGAAAAACCACCGGAGCGATTTTGTTAGACGTCTCCAAGGCGTTTGACAGAATCTGGCATGATGGACTTTTGGCCAAAATGATCAACTTTGGCTACAGGAAACCAATGGTAAGATTAATCGAGTCTTTTAGCTGACAGGCGATGCCGCTGCAGAGTAGGACAAGAACTCTCAACGATGTGATTACTGGAAGCAGGTGTCCCACACCTCTTAACAAGCTGGCGCTCTACGCGGACGACACAGCTCTGCTGGCGAGATCAACAAGCCAAGCGCACGTCACGAGATACTTGCAGCAACAGACAGATAGATTAGAGGAATGGGCCAACCTGTGGAAGGTCAGTATAAACCCTGACAAGAGTCAGGCAATACTGTTCACCCGGAGGATGGTACACCCGGAAGAAAACGTTATCTTCAACGAGCAAGAGATTCCGTGGACCAATGAAGCTAGATACTTGGGGGTCAAACTAGACACGTACGGCAAGGAATAGGAATGGCGAAATCTGCCCTACAAAACCTATTACCAATAATGGGTCGAAGAAGCAGCATGGGACTGAAAGTAAAGCTGCTCATGATAAAGACCGTAATACTACCGATAATCCTGTATGCCTGCACTGCCTGGGGCCAGTGCGCAGCGACATACAGAAACCACCTCCAGTCGTTTGTGAACGCGTGCGTAAGGGCCGCCGTAAAGGCTCCAAGTTATGTACCGAATAGGTACATATTCCGGGATCTAGACCTGAACATACACTACGTGGATGCATACATGAGGAAACACGCAGAGGACACGTTTTACAGAATGAGAGCGCACGACAACCCAGCGCTAAGCGACCTACACAACGTTCTAAACAGGGATGACCCCAGATTCCGAGAGAGGAACAAAAATAGGAGGCCAAAGAAGCAGAACCAAAGACTAGTTTAATACAAATGAAGAAAAGAACTAACGTAGATCAGATAGCACTCTATTCCTTTTTGAAATCCCAGGTTTAAACTTCATTAACAGACAGGAAGTCATCCTAATAATCTTCAAAACGAAGTGTTATATCGGTACAGCCCCGTAAAAAATAAATTCAGTAAATTACTCAACTCGTCTACGTCACTGTGTTGTCACTTCAATAAGAATGATCATCGCATTTCCTCAGTGTACCTTGTATTTGCTTACAAATTTTATAGTTTCAGCGTACGTGTTGAGACTTAAATCATTTGTATTCGTTCATTTTGAATGCATACCTAATACGAAAGTTATAAATAAACGTTGAATCGACTCTACCGGTGAGACTTTCAAAACTGTTCTTTACTTAGGTACAGAGTGTTCACAAAATAAATGCAAGACATGTACAATAATTCTGGGAATTGAAAAGTTCGAATTATTGATTTCAGATGTGAAACAGTGAAGTAATATGTTACACCAAATGAATCATCTAAACAACGCGAAAAACGGAGATGTTGACTATTTTTGGGAAAGTGTTTATAATGCATCTACGTAACAAATATACTAATATTTAAAATTATTTTTCAATACAGCTTATGGTCAGAAAATCATATATCTTGAACTCCTTTTTAAATTTATCCCCAAAACCTTAATACGGTTCTGATCGCTGTGCCATAACATGTTCCTGAACACTGGTAAACTGACAAGGCGATATGAAGATTTTTCTTAGTTTTCCATTATGCAAGTATCACAATGAAAATACCCGAAAAGCTATTTTTTCACGGTTATTGCAGCAAGCAATTGTTCGATTCTGTTTTCGTCCTGCAGAAACGAGCAGTCAGATTCGTGTCCAGAGCTAGATACACCGACCATTGTAAACCATTATCTATAAAACACAAAATTTTGACACTAACTTCCATTTTTATACTTGAAAATTTATATTTGGAGCATAAGCACATGTTCAACGTCTCCAATATTGAGCGCACTCAAACAAACCATAATACTCGCTACATAACGAGAAAAACTTACCTCTCCCGATCCCCCACTTAGAATTAACGAAAAAATAAATAATGTATGAGAGCGAAAAGATATGTAACAATTTGTCACCCTGTTTGAGAAAAATCCCCATACACCATATTTTTCGAAAAAAAGTCAAAAAAATACTTTTGCTCAAATCCTATTATACCCTACAGGAGNCTCCAGTCGTTTGTGAACGCGTGCGTAAGGGCCGCCGTAAAGGCTCCAAGTTATGTACCGAATAGGTACATATTCCGGGATCTAGACCTGAACATACACTACGTGGATGCATACATGAGGAAACACGCAGAGGACACGTTTTACAGAATGAGAGCGCACGACAACCCAGCGCTAAGCGACCTACACAACGTTCTAAACAGGGATGACCCCAGATTCCGAGAGAGGAACAAAAATAGGAGGCCAAAGAAGCAGAACCAAAGACTACCCCCGAGAGTCGCTGTCAGGCGGCTCCGGTAAGTATACAATTTTTTTAACCAGATTCAGTCCATTTTCAGATAGAATAGGAACCAACACTCGCTCGCGGTAAAAACATAAACATAACATAACATAACATAAAAAATTAAGTTAGGAAAGTCATGATAAAACAAAGCAACCAATTAGAAAGTTGAAGCACCTAAACGCTGACTTTCGACCAAAAGAGGTCAGATGTCAATCTTGCTGAAGTGTCCATCATTAAGTTGAGGACCGCTCCGGAGGAGCGGGGGTGGATGGACGAGATTGGATGTTCTGCACACAGTAGGTAACCGTATGGGGAAGATTTTAACTCAGGGCACTCAACCCGGGAGGGGACATGGGGGGGCTTCGAAAAACCCGTCCCTAACTATCATCGTTGCCAACATGACACATTTCACTAACTGTCATATTAGCTGTAAAAAAGAAAAAAAAATCTATGAAATGGAAAACTTCAAGGCAATGCTTTTTGTAATGGCAGAGAAAAATAATAAAATAAAATTCTTGGAAAAATTCTATTTTACCTTTTCTTAAGTAGAACCAAAATTTTCTATATCGAATATATCTCACATTCTAATGCCCTGAAACGTGTTTGCTTATGGTTGGCAGTTTTCAATTAGACATTTCTTACATGGTTTTACTGAAAGGGTTTCATGTCTATAAAACACTTTTCAAAAGGTTTAACATACACCGGTTTGATAATATTCGATGAAAATGGTGTTTGCCCTGGCATTAACGTTGGTTTTATTATAGTAACATCGGCTGTTACAAATCCTCCCTAAAAATGCCGAGTAAACGTGGTCTTTGAAACGTTTCCGAAAGGAGTAGTGGAAATCACCACAGAATAACATTAATTCATCAACGTCAGTGAATTCAGAGTGTTCAGAGTGGTTTAATTACATTTTGATACACTAGTTTACAGCTAATTTACGACTGCAATGCCAAAGGCAGTTCTTTGTTGATTTTTGGTCCCTAAATGTGAAAATGATAGTAACAATTTCCTAGCACGTAAGATTTTTGAGTTATGATTTTTTTAAAAACCAAAGTTACAGTATTTAGGAACCATAACCATGAGCTATCCTCGTTTTTTGCTATGCAGGATAAAATGTGTGTTTGTGCAAATCCAAATGGTATGATTGAAAAGTTAGGATTTGCACATAACCCGGACAAATGGAGTTTATTTATAGATTCGTCTAAAACAATTTTGAAAGCCGTTCTGCTCCATAATGGTAACAAAAGATCCTCTATTCCTTTTGTACATGCAGTTGCCATGAATACAGTAGGGCAACACAGAACCATTATCAAGTGAAAGAATGACCTCTGAGAGATACATATATTCCAGGTCAAGCTAACGTGAAGAATATACCTCTTGTTAATCCCAAAAACGTTTTGTTACCTCCATTACACATTGAACTGGGGTTAATAAAACATTTTGTAAAAGCATTAGACAAAGAAGGTGATGCGTAGAAATATCTCAAACACGTTTTTCCAAAATTAGGTGATGCAAAGCTCAAGGAAGGTATATTTGTGGACCACAAATTAGAAAACTAGTAAGTGATCAACAGTTTGATCAAAAATTAAGTGATGTTGAATTAGCTGCGTGGAGTTCTTTAACAAGAATTGTACGGAGTTTTTAGGGAACAATAAAGTAGAAAATTACGAAACACTTGTAGAAGAACTATACTTGAAAACTACCGCAGAATGGAATGTCGCATGTCTCTCAAATTCCATTTCTTGCACAATTTTAATTTTTTTACAGAAAATTTGGGTGCTGTCAGTGTCGAACAAGGGGAAAGGTTCCACCAAGACATACTGACAATGGAGTAACGTTACCAAGGCAGATGGGATGCAGCAATGATGGGGGATTATTGTTGGTTCTTAATGAGGAAAAACGATGAAACATGTAAACGGAAGTCATCACTTGCAAAAAGGTTATGCACAAAAGACTTCTTTTGAATGTTTTTTCATGTGTATCGTAAATAAAGTCTGTTATCCTCAAAATATATTGTTTTTTTCTTGATTTGATCTTATATTTCCCTATAATATGTGAAAATTTTTGTATAAAATAGAAATAACTGTTACTCAAAATCTTTACGTGATGGAAAATTGTTGATGTTGTCGCAGTCAGTATGCTTTGAACTCTCATGTATAGCCATTATAATAGTAGTAGCATTTTTTTATTATTTGTTGGCCAGTGAATCAAATGAAAATTAATTGCCTTAGAAATGAAAAAAATAATTCAAGGATTTTATTTGAATACAACCAACATCCCTATGTATTTCAGGTGTTCCAAATTACCCATATTTGACTTTTTGGCCTTTGGACTAAAACTGCCTACACATAATTCGTATTTGACAATAATAGTTCTTTTTTGTTTTAACTACCTCATCAATATTCCGCAGAGTTAAAAACTTATTGAGACATTCTGAGCACTCACCATCGGGATTATTTGTTCCTGCTGTTGAGGAGCTCTCTTCCGAACCACTTTCCGGTGATGCTAAACTTTGGCTTTGTGAAAGACCTAATCCTAATTGTTCGGCAATTTCCGAGTGATCTTGGTGGTGGATGTAATCAAATATACTACTACCAGTCATTTCGACCTGGAAAAGAAACATAAATAATCAATACTTCCGAAGATCGCAGGACTTTAGAGAAATAAGAGAGGAATAATTTATTTACGCCAGTTGGTTGAATGCTGAAAATTCAAGTAAATAATTTCTGTAGAGAACTCATTTCATAAAAGGGTTTTGAAAAAACTTACCCACCTTTAGAATGAGTACATTTTTTAGTTTTTGGGAAACTCGTTTTTTTTTGTTGGAAGGTATTCGTAAAACTCTCAAAAACAGTAATCTTCGAACAGGTTAACCATATATAAAGAAAAGCTGAGTATTTACACTATTTCAATTATTTTCTCCTATTTTATAGGGAAAATGAATAAATACGACACTGAGTAACTAAAATTATACTCAGAAGTTTATATTACGTAGTAATTTACGGGGAAGAACTTTTTAGTTAACTCTTCATAACTTTCATGAGATTGTCTGTTGATCTAGATTTCTTTGTTTTACAGAAAGTTAAAAACCCAAAGAAATCGGAGAACAGTGACTCGTCCACAAAGAAGAAATTGTATGTAGGTATTTTTAATTTGAAAGTATTTCAAATAGGATTAGAATAAACATGCCTCATAATCCAAAAAGTGAATAAAACAATGAATACGTCTAAGATATTTGTTTTCAATCAGTTCTTTCTGATACTACTTACAAATATCCATACCAATATTTCTTAGTACAGATATACAAAGGTATGTTGTTATTATCAGGTGTGCATTATATATGATTCATGTTACCAGTTATTTGTACCATATTATCACAGTCAATAAAAATTTGAACAGAAAAACGGCATTGGAAGCATTTGGCACTCACCAAATAACGTCGCTGGTAATCAACTGCCAAAAATACTCTTCTCAATAGAAAGACTTGCAGTGGAAGGACGAACAGACCCACTCTCTTTGAACCTTATCTAACCTAATGCATTCATCACCAATCATGAAAAACTTCGCTTGTCTCTACTCTTGAAGTTTATACAGGGTGACGGAAAATCCGATCTATTCCTTGAAAGAGGTTACAATACCTATAGATGTCATTTGCAACAAATTAGGTCCAATCAACTTGGGGTCAAAACCCAATGTCACAATGTTATGAATGATTTACGATTATTTAGAAGTTGTTCGCCTGCGGGTACTGAAAATATTTAATTATGTACAAAAACATTTGTACCTTCTTAGAAAGCTTATGAAACAAGACAGTAATTATTTGATGAAAAATAGAAATGATTTTCAATTTGCCACAAAGCATCTTATACGGACAGTGTCATAATTCCTCGACACATCCCTTTTAGCATGAAGTTCCAGCATTCAATAGTATATGTACTTCACAGACTATTGAATATTCCACTGTCGGAAAGAAATTTTCTGAGAGAACTGGGTCAATAACGGTTACAAGGCAGAAATAATATACCCCATTCTTTCCAAAAACTATGAAAACAAGCCATTTATCCGGTGTATTCCACTTCAAGAAACGATAATGAATAATGAGCGTCCTAGGATATTGACATACTTTCGTGAACCCATCAACAACATCGCTTGTAGACTTAAGCGAAGCCATAAAAACAATGAAGACAAAACTAATGAGGAGTACTTAAGTTGACTTGTGATTCTTGTCTAAAATTCATATTGGACAAACAGGGGGAACTTCTTTTAAAGAATAAAAGACGATAAGAGTAATTTTTTTAATGTGTTAGTAAAAATTTCTCTCATGAAATCAAAAAATATTGAGTTTATTCCTAAACTCAAGTTAATTTATCAGACGTCAAGTAGGTAAAATGTCATATGTTTCAATTTTTTTTATAAAGCACTAATTATGTAAAATTTTTTCAGTATGAACACGCCTGAGAAAGCATATATAAGTTGTATTTGTGTATGAATGTTCAGTGAAAATCTCACATTAAAGTGTATATTGAATAAGAAAGTGACTCAGGTGATTTGTACGTCTTGTTCCATACATTTTTCTTGAGTAATACATTGAGATGTATGAAAAATTTCATAATTGTTACTAATTCTGCGTCCATCAGGTACGTATACGGAAATTTTCTACAAAATCGTAATTTTGTAACCATTGAGTTTTAACCCCTAGTTGTTTGAACATACTTTGTTGATAATGACCGCTACTTCTACCTTTTTCAAGGAATAGATCAAATTTTTCGCCGACCTAAGTATTCTCAGCAAAAAGTACATCGGTTCAAAATTTCTCGAGTTTTCAAAATCCACCACGACTAGTTGAAATGTAAAGGCCAGCCCAGATGGTGCTGGTAGCAAACGTACATTTCATCTAAGACAATCCTTATCTCATTTCAATTTTTGACGTATTTCAAAACCGCACCGCTCAAAAAGTTAAGAGCACTGATAGTTCTGAAACTGACACCCGGTACATTTTATCCGTTCGCCGCCTCCCGAAGCAACCGCCTCGATGGAGAATGCTTCTCACGTAGTCCTCTGCAGCAGCGTGCCTGCCATTTATAATGGGACTGGCGGGGCCCATAATCAATAGGGTATTTGCAACTGCAGGGAAAATGGCCGACCTTAGAAGAATACGCACATGTTGTCACTTAGGACATCCACCTATAATCGGAGAGTTCATATTTTCACCTCTGGGGAGTTTGCGAAAGAATCTGCTGCCGATGAATATAGTTAAGTGTTCGGGATAATTTGATTTCCAGATCAGTATACTCAAGTATATCATTACCATGTTGCCAGGAGAAAATGTATTTTCTGAACGGGTTATGAAAATGTTCTGTGATTTCAGAAGAAATTCAGGATCATTGAAGATTCAAATGTACCTCTCACGAAACAAGTACCTTGAATCTATTGAAACTACGCGTCTTTGAACATAAGTGATCAGGCAGATTCCTGACTCGACCAATGGTGAATGAATATCGGTTACCATTCCCCCTCCGCCATTGCCTAACCACTTTTTCAGGTTATGGCACAAATTCCATAACAAATGGAAGAAGTCCTAATGCTATGACTTCTTTTCAAAATGCTCCAGACTGATCTAAAACTAACTCAGGTAGACGAAAATTAATTAACGGAGTTTACACTGTTTTTAAGTGACCGGTTTATTCTTTTTTATATGTAAGTTGACTTCTGGAGTCCCTTATATGTATATCATGATACATTAGGTGTCCAACAGTTTCATATTTGAATCCAGCCAAAAGACTCCAGGTTTTTGATTCCACATTTGGTAATATGATACAAATCTCAACTGAAAAACTTGGAATTATTTTTTTTGGAACCTTGTCATTCAAGTGTTCATTTATCATATTCTGTAGACTAGACCAAATGTCTTTCTCACTCTAGCCATACTTTTCTTAGATACTAACTAGCATTGGAGCAGTCTTGATCCTGTTACTTTTTGGAAAACTATGGATTCAGCAATGCCACAACAAAATATATATTTTGTTCATCTTCAATAGATGGGACAGTCTTATATATCATACCGACGTTTATGCTGCAAGAGGAGGAAAAAGGGAGGTAACTAATCTATAAATTATAGATAAAGATATACTTGGACATAATTTCGTTGCCCAGAAGCTGGTTTACAAAAATGTCTTCGTTCGTAAAGTAATTATAGATTTAGATTGCTCCTATATGTGAAAAATACCTCAACAGAAATCACATCCATTAGATCATTTTGCTACCTTTGAGGCTTGAATAGAAATGCCACGTACTCCTCTTGAAGTTATTTTTTCTTCTCCAAAAAAGACCATACCTTACTTATCGTATCGTGTTCCTTTGATTGGATTTCTAATTCACAAGCGTATTGTAGGTTACATAACTGTACTAGATATGTGAATAATGATTTCCTAACTAGCATATCCATTTTGAATTTTTATTATTTCATTCAACTTTCGTGTCTGGCCTCAGCTCTGCATACTAAGTTCTTCGGTGGACTCTTTAGTAGCGAGGAATTAGGTAGACTTTCCATATTCTCTTTATGTGATGAGTTTCTCTAATAAATAAATGCTTACTTTCAACAATGTCCGTTCAATGTTGATCTGCTACTGGTCAATTAGTATTTGGGATCCATGTTGAAATGGAATTTGTGCTGAGTAGGTGTTTGATCTGAATTGATTTCACGTTTTATAATTGTTTTCTACATTCCAAGCGTAAGGAAATGTCGCAGTTTGTTGATTCGGAATTCAAAAAGGACAAAATTTCTGATAAGAATGTTATGAAAAATCAATAATCGTTTGTATGACTCACCTGTGAAAGTCCTAGATATATTGATACTGTTTCAGAAATATACAAAAATCGACCATCTGATGCCACAGCCAGAGCAAAACCATCCAAGGACTGAAAAAAAATGATAAATTTTCAGATTATATTTTATCAGAGAAATTTGTTTTTCAAGTTGTTGAAATATGCTTTTAATGACAAATAATTACAACAAGACAAAATAGAATCAATAGCAAGTTATATTAAAATAATCAATAAACGGGTTATCGAAAAGTACAAACCTGTAATATATGTGTCCCTTGATGTTGTTCGAAAATATCCATAGCTAACCCACCTTGCGTTCGACTCCTACCAGCTGGAAAAAAAGTTGAATTCAGTAAAACGAAAATATGTTCAAAACAAATTGTTTCGTATTAATTTCTTATTGTATTTTCATGTATGTATTTTCATAATTCATATTTGTTTCAGGTTGGACATTATTTCAAGAAACTAAGTTTGGATGTATTGAAAAGGAATTAGTATATTTTAGGAATAAAACCTTCTTGGCTCTCTTATTCTCCATAAAGTGGGTAAATTTCAAAGAGGGCAAGAAGAAAATTATTCAATGATTAATTCCCTTCCTTTCTTTGTCAATTTCTAACTCTTATACAAATATATAGAAGGTAGGAACTAACGGGAATTTCAGTCAAACACGTTCAAGAAACAAACTTACTCTATTTCACAAATCGCCAAGCTTTCGTCTCTGAATAGAGAGACTGGCCTGAACGAATTGTTCCTTTAGATAATTTGAATGATTATCAGTTTATTCATATTTTCTTCATTTATTTCATGAGAAATTATTCGACAGTCAGTTTAATAGGTATTTTGTAAGCTGGTATCGAATTCCGATTGAAGCGGAAGAGATCGCCTTTATTTTCATTCGATATAGCATGCCATAAACCAATAATTTTTGGAATACGATTTTCAATATTTCTTATTATACAGAAGGCTATCTAACGGTCATCGCTACGTACCCCGTATATTTATCATTGTTCACATTTTCATTTCTCAACCCCTGTAAACAGCAATTGTGCCCCCAGGGAAATATTAATTTATTGATTTGATCTCGCGTAAGGAGCCGTTAGAAACAACATCTTTTCATTAGAACAATATTGGGGAGTGAGTCCTAGAAATCATCTTTCGGGCCATTTCGGGTTTCCGTTTTATCACAATCGTCGGAACTGTTTGGACCTGCGATTTAACAATTCCAGTAGCCATGGCCGCAAACCATCCCGGTCACTGGTCAGTATTCTTTGTTAGATAACTCAATTACGAACCCTCGATTCGGCTTATTACCACAGAATACACGAGGTGGTGAATATATCTGGATTTTACGGAAAAAGAATAGGACCTCCTGTCACTGTTAAGTTGTTTTTAGGTGTTCCTTTGACTGATATTTTTCTGTATTGTTTTCTCATATTTTTTAATATAAAAGTCTTGTCAGTTTTACAATATGGTAGATGGGACACACCTTATTTCTTTTAATCAACTTTCTGTAAAAAAAGTCTTCAAGAAATCCTTGATATATAGTTTACGATTCTCTACCACATAAATTTTCAGGCATCTGCGTTGAGCGTAGCAGAACATCAATACCTGATTACCATCAGGAAAGAAGATCCAAGAACTTCTATTTGGAAAATGAACGATAAATTCAAGTTTGAAATATATCAGACACTCTACGAAGGTGACCCCATTAGTCTTTCTTCTATATCATGCACCCACGGAGCTTTCGTTGCAGTGGCTTATGGAACTTTTTCTGAAGATATTGAAATATCAAATTCAGGTTGACCATTCTTCGGCTTTATATAGATCTTACTTTCTAAATTCATTCTTATTTATCCTCCAACGAAAACCTCTTTCCAGACTTTTTTCGTGGTGTGTTTCACCATCATTAATAAATGATTTTCTGAAAATTGTAATATTTACAATATCTCCAGTAAAGCCTAATAAAATGTACCCTGTAACTTTTTCGCCTAAAGCTTCGATGGTCATATTATTCAGCGTCGGTAGGCTATAATGCGTCTCGGCTTCTCAGTTACTACATGAGCTGAAAAGTATCGGGCCTAACACATAGATGGCGTTAGTCGTATTGCATTCACCGCTTTTTAAGTTAGTACTTCAAAAGAAAACTATTAAAATTTCATGATACTCTTCGGCACTGATGTCTAAGGACTTCATGCCGTCATCTATCAGTCGTGTACCCATTGGTCCCTCTCAAGGCCAATGATCAGCCAAACCTGGATGAAATCAGGATGACTCGTCAGTTCATGATACTCTACTCATAAGTTTGTAAGTTATTGTACAAAGAGTTTTGAATGATCGAAAAGTGAAATAACTTTGGTTAGCTGACATTGTAAGGATACCAGAAGAACGTGTTGGGTTTCTATTGTATGAGCATTTGACCATGAGGAAGCTCTGCTCAGTGGATGCTGCGCGAGCAGCCTCCACTTTGAGCAGAGCTAAATTTTGTATCAGAAATTTTCAATTTTAAATGATGCTGAAAACTGAAGTATTGGGCTTTGGAACTTAAATGAGATTTCTTTCTAAAGGCTATAACTCCTTTCTCCTGGATGACTTTATAGGAATCAAAGTGTATCTCAATCCTGAATAATAATGAAAGAGCAACAGAGATCTACGTTCACATGGTAGAGCAGAATCAATAAACTAATCAGATGTGACAGACAGCCACTTACTAATAGTAGGTAACATAAATTTATTTTTCCTGTTTCTCACATAGCTATCCCACTGAAATTTCAGGGTGACTTTTCAACCATTTGATGATTCTATATGATATCATTAATCCAGTAAACAAAATCGAGCAATTCTTAATGTTGTACAAATTTCATCTGCAAAGTTAAAAGGAATATATCTCTACCCCAACGAAATGAATATGGTATAAATTATCTAATTTATTTGACGAAGTTAGTCAAAACGGAGAGCAAATTCCATTTGAGTATTGAAACAAAACTCTTGCTAACCCTCTAGATCAATGTCAATTCATTAGTCAGGCGCAAGTATAAGATTGTTCAAGCTCAGTCTAATTCTACATAATTATTTCACTTAGAACAACCCCTCGCCACAACTAGCGAATTAAGGCTGCAAATTTTCCAAGTTTGGTTTACAATAAGCAACAGCTAATTTTATCACTCTCGGCCTGGGACAGAACAGAATTGGATTTACAAATTTAGCAGCGAGGGGTGCATGATTAGATTTACATGTTCGAGTTAGGTTAGGGGTTGGCTTGAACAAGCGGGGAGCAGTTAGTGTGATGACACACTTTCAATCAACATACATGTCATATTGTTGAGGCCCAGCCAGCCCTAAACTTGAAACGATGACGGGGGCGGTTAGATTCCGCCCTTCCGCAAATTTCGCTTTACGCATACGTTTGTTTTTCGCTAAAAATTTCCTGTCGTACGTTCTTGTACACGAAGCCGGCACAAATGGTGGCACAGTGGATTTAAAATTGTATTTTTAGAGATTCTATTTCCAGATGAACAATTATCTAATTCAAAACTTGTTAGTATTTTCTCTGATATTTTGCTCACAGTGGATATCAATGTAACAGAACTTACATACTTAACTAATCTCAAAAATACAATTGAAACAGAATAGAAACTCAAATGACAAAGTTAGGTACTATATTCCGTTTATTTCGTAGTCAATGGTTGCGTCTACCAGCATTCAGACTTGTCTTTTAAACATACCGCTAATATGCGAATCGCTTTTTTGTGAAAGATGGCAGACGCACCCAATATATTGGAGGATATTGCAGATATCGACAAATCGACTCCAAAGTTTTTATTCCATTCCATTGTTTAAAATTATTTAACAGAAGAAAAATAACCGAATGGGGTTATATACATTATTTGTTAGTGTTAACTATATATTCCTCATAGACATAAATAATAGATATACCCAGACGTATCTAATTATATTGATCTAACTACACAGTAGTCAATGGATTTCAGTTGAGAAATATTCTTTTCGTTGACAGTTATACGAGACGACACGTCTGCATTTAAGGATGTAATTTCGGGACCGATTTTGAAATTGTATCGAGGTGGATGAAAAAAATTGTGTACGTAGTGAATTGAAATGAGTATTTTTCCTTTTTCACATCCGGAATTTTTTAAATAGTGTAGTGTTGTGTACCAGTCGATAAGTTGCTTGGACACACCGGTAAGTGACTTTATAGTAAATTGACCCGTATTGTTTTGACAACATGTCTGTATGTTATATTGATTATGGTATCCAGTGTAAAGGATACAATATTTACCTTTCAAACTTTTATTCGGGGGCGGGCCATCTCTGCTCCATGGAGGCTCTCCGTGGCCTGAGAAGTCCCTTAATTTGAGATATGAGATCGTCAGTCTTATAATGCTAGCCTTATCTAATTGAGAGGTGATTGCGGCGGGAAGGGGAAGCATCTTGGCCAGTTCGTAGAATTCGAAATTTTCTTTTCCACGTCTAGACCTTGCGGCATCCCTGCTTTTTTCTTTCCTCAGCTCGAGAATACTGTAACAGAAATACAAGGGTTAGTGAAAAAGTTCCAGAAATGGTAAGGTGTATTATGAAAGAAGTATTTGCGATAATTGAATATACAGTTGGGACATGATAACACAAATATTTAGAAATATAATATTAATTGAAACTTAGACATATAACATATGGTTTTCACCATAACGGGAAATCTGTGCCACTATATTTTGTGAAGGGTTTGTCAAAATTATTTCGTGAAAAGTTTTCATTATTTTCATGTATATAGGTGGTTTTTGGAATAATTGAAATAACCAAATAACCTCCAAATTCATACAATGAAGGGAGCCGTGTGAAGAAAATATTCAAATGTTATTTCATCCGTCTGAAATTCAAGGTCGATTATCCATGATAATGAGACAATGGTGATGTTATCACCATCAAATAATATTTGATTTTAACCGAATTTTATAAGACTGTCGAAAAAGTAGATGATTAGAAAATCTTGAGTCTTCAGATATTTTCTCAAGATCAAAATAATTGAACATGTAACGAGATGTCTCTTTCATCATATTTCAAATCAACTGTAGGGTCTTTCATTAAGCGCTTCCTATCTTTAAATTTGAATAAAACAAAGTGTGTGTGAGATACCATCGAAATTTTTTATTCGTTTGAAAGACCTATTGATGCTATTACGTGTGGACAGAGCCGTAGCGAAAAGAAAAACCAGGAGGGAGAGAGAATCCAAATTTATTTGTGAAATTGTCACTTCAAAATTTGTGGACTGTTCAGGACTATTCTCTTACTTGGGAGAAATTAAACTTCTTTGTTTTCAAACAACTCAGAATTTCAAAGTATGAGATCTCCAAGTTATGCATGTTGGGAAATCCCAACCTTCTTCTGTGTTCATTCCTTTTTCTTATTACCTCTCCCTTTCTTTTCTCTCATTTTTATTTTTTTGATTTTTATTCATTTTTTTACTATTATTTTTTCCATTTTCTTCACGGCCCAAAATTTCCCAACTTTTTCCCAAGTCGAAAGTCCCTCCTGCGTATGGAATATAACATCGTTCAAATGTCTGCCAGGGCTTCTCTGGGTGGAATGCTTCCAAAACGACCAATTCTCCATGACTTTGGTGCATGAATCAAGCTTAATTTGACCGCTGACCGGGTTATGTTGGCTTTGAAGACCGCTGTGGTTTGTCGCTTATTCGCATACACCTGCGTCTTAAGAAAACTCCACAAGAAAAAGTTTGACAGGGTCAAGTTACAGAATCTCGATGGAAAGTTCATTTCACCTCCACGTGAGATGACCATGCTCTTAAATCGCTCGTGCAGAATATCCAATGTGGCATGAGTTGTGTGGCACACAACCACATGTCGTTGGTGTCCATATTATGCAATTCAAAAGAAGTTGGTAATCATCGACCAATAGTGCTCGTCGTTGTCAGTCATGGCCTGGTCAACGTCGTTCTCAAAGAAATATGGACCGATGATGCCGCCAGCGCAATATCCATACCAGTGACTTTTTCAGGATGCTTTGGACGCTCTTGGATCTCATGTGGATTGGTATCGTCCCAAATTCGACAATTTTTTTTGTTCACGCACCCATTTATCCAGAAATGGGCCTCATCGCTGAAGATGATTTTTCGATGAAAATTAGGGTCAGTTGCCACCTGCTCCAGAGTCTATTCAGCGAACACACGTCGTTGTCTATGGTCGTTTACCTACAGTTCCTGGGTCAGTTGAATTTTGTACGGGTGCAGGCCTAAGTCACGATGCAGAATTCGCCAAGTTGTAGTCTGTGAAAGGACGACATTGGCCGAACAGAACACCTATATTGATAAAAAATAAATATTATTTACACGCGTTGTTGAATGCTATATCCGTCCATGATAATCTGGCAAAACAGACAGAATAAATGACAACCAATTTGATAGATGTAGTTTCAACAAGATGACCGTTATCAATTGTCAGAGTTCAGAACTCCTGTTGAAAGACCCTATAGTTACTTTTATAGTTCAATTTCGAAAATTCCGCACATGAAGAAAAAGATAACATTCCAAAGAAACATTTCATAATTTGTATGGAAATGCATATTCCATAAAATTGGATTTTGGTGAAACTAAATGAGCAATAATAATTCGTGTCGAACACCATATCGAAAATATGACATCAAACATATTTGATGACAATAAAAGATTTAGGAGATATAGTCTAGGGTAGAATTATTCCTCAAACGTTGTCGGAAGGAATTCGTAAACTAATTTCAGTCATTGATCCATTGAAAACCTATAGATTCAAACGAATTAGAATAGCTTAGGTGGGCCGTTGGCTTTTATCAGGAATTGGGGCGAAAGCATTCGAAATCAGTGTTCCCTCAGGAGAAGTTGCGAGTGAAAGGAGACTGAAATTTAGATTCGACGTATGGGACAGTGGTCCCGGAGGATGAATAAAGTGAAAAGTAACGCACTGTTGCGATCAAGGCAAGACAGACCTGGAAATTCTGGGAAAGGTATCGCAGATGATTTGCCTACCTTAAATTTATACCAACCATTTTTCCGAAAAGAAATGAATTGAATTCTGAGGAGCCTAATGAATTGCATTTGGTTCCAAAACAGGCACTATTCCTAAACACCAGAACTGCAACACACTTCTCGACGCGCGTTTCACCAACCAAGTAGACCAGTCTACCTCATCTCTTAAAAACGCCATTTCGGTTAGTGAAAAGGGCGCCAAGAATAGTGTTGCAGTACTGGTATTTGTCAACAGTGCTTGTTAAGGATTTATTCTACGCCAGTTCTACTTTTTATTGTAGCAAGTTTGTATTTTTTTTCGGCAAGATCACGAGTATTTCACCATTGTTTTTAGTGACTCATCATTAATATATTACAATGATAACACATCCTTCCAGGTAAATGTCAAATGTTTAACAAATCTCCTCTATAGCGGTGATGACTCTTCTTACGAACAAATGATCTATTGTATCGGAAAACTTCTATTTCAACCGAACAAGGGAAATTAATTTGCTGCATCTCTGCAGCTTTCATTGCAAACAATCGTTTGGATCATAACAGCAAATCAAACTCGAACCTGTACAGTATATCTGCATAGCATAAATAGCGTTAGCTTAGGAAAGTTTCCAGTTTAATCTTCCTCTTGAAGATGATCACATGGTGATCGAAACACTTGTCGAGGTGTTAAAAATAACGATTTGGTGTTGGGAAAGAACTCCAGTGATATTCATTACTACACCAAAGGTTCCAAACAGTGCATCATAAGTAAATAATGACAGTAATAATAACAACAGTAATACAAATAAGTATTTGACGTATTGCAATATGTTATATGTACAGTACAGTGAGTGACAATAGGGTCGTTCAGTCAAACCTACTTTTGAGCATTTTTCACATATACTCTGATAGTGATTGTCAATCAGAACATTTTGTGGCGTCACGAGATATGTGCGATTGCCGGTACAGCGTCTAAATTACGTCTGAACTGTTATAAAGCAAAGCGTTTAATGTTTTGAGTTTTGAATGAAGATGTGTCTGGTCCAGGAAATTTTTATTAAGGCAGACTGCAGACACACATAATTATAATTTATCACAGGGAGACTTATTCATGGTTATGGAATATATCATTGAGAACAAGGAATGAGTTTTCTATCAAATTCAGTAATCAAAGGCGTTTTGCTGTAATGAGAAATTGCAGAGAAACGATATATTGGAGTGTATTAGTATGTTTAGGTGATAAATATTTTATGTGCCCTGTTCATTAATAGGCATGGATGCATTAATTTCATTTTTACTTTGAAATAGACGTCATATATTAACGTTAAAATGATCCTCCAAATAAAAAAAGTTCATTCAAAGATTTATTTCAATTACCTATGCAAAGAAAAAAATGTATTGCAAATAGCTATCTATAATCATAAGTTTTTGTTGACAATTTTATTTTTTGGTAAAAGTTACAAACAATTTGTATGGTGAATTGCGGGTTAAATTATATCTACATGTACAATACTTTTTTGTAACGTTTCCTCCATAGTTTCACATTGTGAGTAAACAACCAGAAATAATTGAACTTTCACACCGCTTTCACAGGAACATTTGAAACTAATGGCGATTCCTAGCCGACTCCCCATTTAATATTACTGGTGACCCTATGCCTTTTTCGCTGAACCACTTCTTTGAGATTTTTTCCTGATGCAGTGAATTCAAATCACCTGCTGATTTCATTTTTGGAATTGAAAAAAATTTGCCTACTTCAAGATATAAGAAATTGACAAGATATTTAAAAATGCAAATAATAACACATGAAAATACAATTTATCCGTTAACAAAATCAAAAGTCAATAAGATACATAAAAATAAAAAAATACAGTTTACACTTAACAATAAAAAATATAGAAAATGTCGTCATATTTTGTTCATGAATAAAATAAACGTCTTATGTAAGATGTTTCTTTACCATGATTTCAAAACGATCGATTGGATCTATATCCTTTACTTATTTCTGATATTTTTGAGGTTGAATCCTTGAGTTTTTTAAATACGAAAATAATTTGTTGATCTGGTTGGGTAATAGGTATTAGTTATCGACAGGGATGGATTTTTTTAATCGTCTATCGGTAGACTGTCGTCCACACCTCCAAAATTTCACCAATTTCCGAATGAAATTCCTCCAGGAAAGATAAAAGGCATAGGTCCGTCTCTCCCGGGATATTATCCTTAGGAAGAGGTGTCGCCAGGTACGACCGTCGCGGCGTTGAACCGACGCGGAGACTATAGAAGGTTCGTTCTGATGGATAACCTAATAATCGCCGAGACGTAGGGGCAGCAACTCCCGAAGGACCGAAATGATGGTTCAAGTAGCATAGACCAACTTGGAGCAATTTTCTGAAAGTTCCCGTTAATTTTGTTTTCACGGGATGTCTTTCGCAAGTGCCGGTACAAGGGCGGAGGGGAAATGGTCGTCAAAGAGGGGACAGGTCAAATTGACAGCGAGGATGGACGCATGAACTTTTTCGTCGTTCTA